TGAGTTTACAATCTGGGTAGACACCACACAAAATACAAGAAAGGGGAAAAAGGCAACATGGCATACCAAGTAAAAAAGTATTTTTATGTAAGCTTTATATATTATTCTTCCTTTGCCTTCTGTAATCACAATACATTCCCATGCCCATGAGAGAGAGAGAAACCATATTATGATTTCACTGTTGCAGACTTCAGTATACAAAATAAGTGGTAGGGAAAATTAAAATTTGTAAGGATATTAAACACACACAACTCCAAAGAACTCCACTTCATAAAATATATTATTAGGTATTCCAGAATTTTTGGAAGTTTTCATAGCCTGATTTTTTTATGTACAAAACCTCCTTTTAATAACTCGCAATTAGAGATTAGTATTCTCATTTTTTACCTGGGTTTCATTATTCTCCTCCACCCCCTGCCAAAAAATATAAGTTCTTTGTTCCGGATCTCACATTTTCAATTAAACCAGACCCAACTTTTATGCAAATGAGTCAAATGTATGTTGTAGATTTTTAATATCCGGTAGGGCAGTTTCCAAAGTTTCATAAGTGACCACTATTTCAATTTATCTAAGAGTTAGGTCTCTATTGGTTAAATGGACTGATTCAGAAGCAGTAATGGTTTGTGGTGACCATGGAGGAAATTGAGTAGAAGAACATGTTCCATGCATCATTAAATGCCCTTTGGTGCTGCATTAAAAGTCAGCTGAGTAATGTGTTACTTTAACTACCTTTAACTTTATGATTTTTCACTGTATTTTGGAATTGATTTAAACAAAATTAGTGTTTGTTAGTAAACTGAATTTGGTATCCGATTTTTGTGGCTATTGTTTGGCTCATGAATTATGACCTCAGGGGAGCAGAGAAAGGGTAGAGTACTACTTCTGCCTGTTTGCTGGATCACTGGCACAAAAAAGGCTACGGTCTCCCTCAGACAAGACCCCATACTAACTAGTAAAGGTCAAGGTGGGCAAAGGAAGCCAAGTGACATAAGCTGGAGAGGTTTTTTTAAGCTTTGAGACCCATCATAGCATATCTAAAACTCAAGCTACTTAAAGGACCGCCTTCAACATTTTAATCAGTAAAGTTGTAACCGATTCTTATTCTGACACTACTTTAAACCAACCTGCTTACTATTTGAATGCAACTTGTGTATCAATTAGAGAACAATGGACCTATGGGGTACAAGGAACCATTATAATTAAAGTAAATTTTATGATGGGTCAACTAAGCTGTTATTAACACAGGTTAGAAAAAAAATCGTTAACAGTATTCTATTGGGCTTTCATCATGACAGTCAGAAATGATACCTGAGTAGTAGCTCAGCTATGTCAATGAAAGTGAAAGCTTTAAGGAAAATGCATTTCAGAATTTATTCATGGTGACAGGTGCATTTTATTTTGTGAAATATACTTCTGGTTTGAGAAAAATGGGTTTCTTTTAATCATGACACCTACTACTAGATCCTCTCTCTCAAAACCTTCTCTTCAGACTTACAACCCTCAATCTTTTTTATTCTTTAATTGAATTTTTTAATACCCAATTGTATGTTGTAAGGAAATATTCCTTTGGATAACAGACCCCCTTATAGCTCTACCACCATTTCACACAATTTTCAAGTTATTTTAACCAGAAACATATTTTTAGAAATCTCTAAAGAAATTCTATCAGTTCTTCAATTATAGAAACATTAGGAGCAGAAGCACTTAAGTTTGGTCTCATAAAAATTCTCACAGCGAACAATAAAAAGTGCACAGATATTCCTGACCCAACCCCACATAGAATCCCTCAAAATCATGAAATGGCACGCAAGAGATGTCGGCTTCTCCAAAGCTGAGCTGGAGGTTTTTTCTGAGCGCACATCTCGAGGCTTCTGCTAAGATTTTCTGAGAAACCTGTGTCCTACTTGGATCATATTTTAAAAAGAGAAAAGCAAAGAAACCAAAGGAAATTGAAGCAGAAGTGCTCTTCAACCAGATCTTGAGGAAACACACCTCTCAAATTTAGCTTTTCTTATTTATTGTGTCTCCTGAACAATAAAGACAAGACCAGATAAGAAATAATGATGTCAAGGCTATATTCAAAAGAGCTTAAATACCATAGCAGGATTCAGCCAAAACCAAACAGACTAACAGTAGCATAGCAGCAATTCTGAGCAAGCTCAGGGCCTGAAATAGGCTTATCTTAGTATCAATTCCAGGACCAGAGCCTAGGGCTAGCGAGGAAGATACGGCAGAGCCCACAGGAAGTGCAGCTTGTATAGGTCAACTCTTTTTACAGCTTAGTGTACTGCTATCATTTCCTAGATGCCAGGCCAGAAAGAAAGCGGAGTTAGCAAGAGGCACAATCAATACTTAGGGCTGGTCTACACTAGGGGAGGTGTGTGGGGGGGAATCGATCTAAGATATGCAACTTCAGCTACGCTATTCGCGTAGCTGAAGTCGAAGTATCTTAGTTTGACTTACTTGGCTCCCCGGCCAATTCCGCTTACTCCTCCTGCCAAGGTGGAGTACGGGCATCAATTCAGGGATCGATTTATTATGTCTAGACGAAACACGATAAATTGATCCCCGATAGATCGAGGACTACCCGCCGATTTGGCGGGTAGTGTACACATGGCCTTACAGAACTCAAAGTTCATCACAATTACAGCCTATTCCCTGAAAACTGAAGTATCTAGAGCCAAGTGGAGTGTGGCAATAGCAAGGGCCAAGAGCAGGAGCATGGATATTTTAATATTCACACTCATTTCACTAGAAAACTTGCACACAAAATGATGAAGGTATATATATTAACACAATGAGCACCAAGATGAGCAAAAACATTTGAAAAGCTTTATTTCCCCCAACAGTAAGAAGTCAATTTCTAGTACCTTTAGTTCATACTATTTTTTTTCCCCATCGATTAAGCCTTTTACTGACATACTAGTAATTGAAACTAAAAATTAGACATCTGGAATTGACTGAACAAAAACATACCGTTTTGATCTAGTTAAGGAAAACAGGATCCACCTATCAGTATGATAGCAAAAATATGTAATTGAATAACGAGAAGCAGAATTTGGATTCACAATTCTAATAAATGTGAATGTCAAATTCATTTCAGTATTTATACACTGGCATACCTCACTGTAGAATGTCCATTTTCCCCCTCTTCTTCTTTTCAAGTCTGTATCACTGCTCTTGAGCAGATATCACAGACTCATCTCCGTTAAAAATGAAAGAATTAGGTCACCATCACATTCTGTTCAATGGGTTGAGTCTGCAGTATTCTTCTTTGCTCAGGATATTAATCTTTCTAAAAGCATTCTAGCTCTTCAGTGTAACAATCTAACAGCAGTAATTACTTCTTGTTCTGCATTATCAGATGTTGCAGGTATTATGATTTTTTTCTTTGTCACTGGATTGGTGTATTTAAAAGATTTTATTTGAAAATCACTCATTGATAAACAATCTTGTGTGTTCTGACATGAAAAACCAAAATTTCAAAGTTGGATGTGATGGGTGTGTCTGCAAAAATAACCGGACACCCAAGATGCATGCAGATCAGGAACCTGTCCAAGCTCACAGCTAGCTGTACATTTGCCCGATATATACTTCCCCCTCCCCCCTTCAAATGTGGAGCTTTGCAGGGTATTTTACCATCCTTTGAAACTGTCTCTGGGAACATACCACACAGTCAGAATATTATGTAACAATAAATTTACCATCTAGAGATAATTCAGTTATCTTTCTTTAATGAATAGCATGCAGTTGTCATACAGGAAACTACTTTATTATTAATACACATGAGGTTTTCTTGAAAAGGAGATAGGTGCTTATAACAATCCACAACTTGTACCAGAAAGCAACACATTTCTTGTTATATATACACATATGCAGTATTTAATCACCTTTTTACTATTTAGAGGGGAAAGGCAGTTTTTAAGGTGGTTAAGCTATGTATCATCAATACCATGAAGCTAACCTATCAGTTGTAATAGCTCCTATAAAATACCAGGGCGAGATTGCAATAAGACTTGAAAATGGGCTACAAATCCCAGATATGCTCAAGTAAGCAGTGAACCAAAAATAAAAATAGGTAGATCTGAAACCAAGAACTAGATAACATTCATCTAATTCATGACCACTAAAGGTAGAGTTCATAGGCCAAGCATTCAGCTCTGAATGGCAATTATTAGACAAAGATTTCAATTACAAAATTTCCCTCCTTCCAAAAGGGTTAAATTTCCAGTATTACTTTTCTATGCACTCCCATTGGGAGTGGAATGGGAGAGGCAGTGATAACTGGTCTTTCTCCCTTCTTTATCAACTTTGTTGTTCCTACAACTGAGGGGACCTTTAATAACATTTGTGCTTAGAGGCTCTGGGGATTTTGTGATGTGCATACATGAGTATTAGATCACTAACTTCATTTTAACATATGGCCTTAAAAAAAAAAGACACAAAGTTGAGGGTGAAAGAGATGAGAGTACTCCACAGAAAAAAGAACAGTACATTAATCCTTTGCGCCACATACACTTAGTGTCAGGTACATTTGAGTACCTTATCAGTTCTGATGTTCCTTTACAAAAAGACAAGTAAAAATAATCTCTCCCTACAATGTGATTTGCTTTAGATAAATATCCCTTTCTTCACATACATCTGCCATATACTGAAATGTGTATTTTTTTTAAACCTTTTTTCCCCCTACAGTTCATAATGTAAAGCATTAAGGAACAGTCTTCTAATTAACAGTTTGTTTGGATCATTCCATTATAATATCAGTGTTGGAAGGAGAAGAATTAAAAACAACCAAACATAAAAGTGTTAGAAGAACTAGTTTATAGTAGAGTCTTACCATTCTAATTTGCATACTGTAAAAGAATGAATTAATTCAGCTATATACAAACATTAGGATATCAATGAAAGGAGGAATATGCATTTGGTTTTTGGGTTTTTGTTTTGTTTTAATGGAAAAAAACAGTTCAAATTGGTTTGAATGAAAAAAAAAGCACGCCTACCAATGCAGCTGGGTTTCCTGAAACCTTTTTGATGTTCCTTGCTGGCATTCCATGAAGATGACTAAATCTACTCTGGAAACCTACAAGCAAGCATTAGAGCTCAGTTTAAAAAATATTTTATATTACAGACAATCACATTCCTAAAGGTACAGTAGGAGATATGAACCAAAAGGAATACAAAACATTTTCTTTGAACAACAAAGAATATTTTAATTTGTTAATTTTATAGCCGCACCATTTTGTTGTGTTTCTAAAACTATTGAATTATTTTATAAAAGCTACTGAATTACAAGTTTAGGGGCTGATTCTGCAAACCCTGACCCACATAAAAGGTACATTTGCACTGCATCAAGGGTTGCAGATTTGCAGTTTGTCTAGACATACGTGTGCTACCTTTAATCTAACTAGCTTGCTAAAATCAGTAGTGAGGACACAGAGGTGTGAACTTTGGCATAGTCTGCACAAGTGAGTACATACCCGGTGTCAGGTGGCTTTGTGCAACCCACACCGAAGACTGAGCCGATGTTGCGCACCCTCAATGCTATTTTAGCAACCTAGCTAGATTAGGTATGTCTATACAAGCTGCAAACTACAGTTTGGACCCGACTGCAATGTAGCTGTTCCCAAAAAATCCATTGAAGTGACTGCAATCAGTGGGACCCCTTGTAGGAGTACAGGTTTGCAAGATAAGGGCCTAAGAAAAAAATCAATTTCGTACCTCCTGAACTTTGCAATCATTGGCAAATAGATCTCTCATTTCCAGTCTTAGCACTGCTCTAAAAAAAAATTGTGAAAATTCCCAAGCTAATGAAACTCCAAGATCAAGACCAACCACCACACACTTTACATATCAGATGCAGACTAGAGACATCTTTCCATTGAACCCAAGCTATTATATTATTCTGCCTTTGAGTGTTACTGACCTCTCTTCCCTGAATGGGACATAAGAGGGAAAGCACCAGTTAAGATACTTTCAAAGACTGGATCAGGCAATTCTTTCTCCAGCTCCGTTGAGTCCTGTTCCCACCAGTGACCGACCCCAGTGATTCCACACGCACCGCCAGATTCATTTTCATGAAACCAGTCACTCTGCTCATCATCACCTGTGTAAATATAATAAACCACCACCCCCAAAAAATACAGGTTTATTATCCACAGAAACCACACTTGTAATCACAATCTTTTTTTTTGCTTTATAGTTGTACTACAATTATTTGTATATAACAACTCTGCTTGGAGAATAGGTTTTAATAGCATGACAAGTAATGCCATCAATAAGAACACATAAAATGTAATGTTTTAGAACCAATTTAGAAATGTGAAAAACAATAATAAACTGGTTAATCCTTTGGTGATAACTGCAGGGAAATCCATTTAAGTTACTGCTCTTTTCCCATTAACAAAAAACAAGCCTTAATCTCCTGCTGGGAATTAAAAGGTATAAAACTGTGAAACCAGTTCTTTGCAGCTGATAATGGTATATAATTAGCTTAATTTCATGATTTGTATGGCATGTAAAAGGGGGAAACAATCATGAACAGATGTGACTAAATAAAATTAATCTGATTAAGTTCATTAAGAAATAAGTTTTGAAAAAGTTGATTTTAAATGAAAAGTGACAGTACCATGAAATATACTGAGAAATGCACTGTACTGCATTTTGAAGTTGGTCATTTTTAACAAAAATATTTTATGGACATTTTCAGTAAATATTAGAGAGACAATGGCAAAAGCAAGAAAAATTCAACATTAAGCATCAAAGTCTGCCTTTAACTAATCTGATATAAAAAATAATCCCCTCCCCCCCACAAACATTTAATTAAAGATGAACTGCTAATTTTAAAAACACTGTTTTGTACAAACACGCAGAGGTAGTAAAAAAGAAGAGTACAGAGCACTGTATTTTAAACAAAAGTTTGAGACGATCATTCTATCATTGAGGTCCTGAGCTGCTAATTCCCCACTTACTTGCCTCCATTTAGTAGGAAATCCGTTAAATCCGACAATATCCTCTTAAGACTTCACTAACTGTCCTTAAATCCAGGAGTTTTAAAAGAAGTATGCTATCTGACTCGTACCATGCCTGGTAGTGTAGTTGTATATAACCTATCTTTAAAGTATCCAATTTGTTCACCGTAACTATTTCCATGTATAAAACTGTACCGTGCCTTTCACGCTTTTAAATCCGCAAGACTACACAAAACACACCTTACATGAATGTTTAACAAACATTTTAATATGTATGGATTAATTTATTCATTTATATTTGTTTAATTAAATAGGTGGCTTTACACAGTCAAGTTTATGTCAGCCACAGAATAACCTATCAGATGTAGGTTGTGAAGTATCCAAGCATATTTTAATATTTGAATATGGGATAATCTGTAACATGATCAGCAATTTGTTACTTCCACTTCGATTGTGCTAAATGTCATTGTCACTCTGACAACAAAAAGAACACATTGTCATGAAAATCCAAGTAGAGCCTTGAGGAAAAGCGGAAAAACAGATATTATAATAATCCACGATTCAATTTTGTAATTCAAATGTGAGGCAATTCCCCAATACCAGGCCAAGTATAGCACTACTGACTGAAAGTGCTGGTTCTGGCCTGGCTGAGTCCAGCATTACAAGCATATTAAGAAGAATCAAAACATCTCACTGGTCCCTTATGGATTAAATGATGGCCTTAAAATCCTCAGTGGTAACTACTAACACCAAAATTGATCTGTTCCAGAAAAGGGTAAGAGAAGAAATAAGAAGAGGGGGGGGGGGGGAAAGCCACCTGTAGAATGAGCAGTAACACAGAAGAGGGGAGGACGGGGAAGTAGGAGGAGGAAGCTGGAAACAGGGATTTTTTTTGTACACTTAATGTCTATCAAGGAATTCACTCTCCCAATTCTCTCACTGGCACATATCTATTTTGCTGTGACTTTTCACAAAGTCTGCCCCTCATTAATTCTATCCTTGCCTTCCTCAAGGTCAAGCTAAATTTCTCTCTATGGATCTAATCCATGATGATCCTCAACAGAGCTAGAAGAATAGTGGTGGACAAAAGCATGCAAACATTTTAGCTAATTTTGTACTATATTTCAATCTGGCTCTATTCAAACCCCTTCCATTTAGTTTTTCACACACTTTTGTACTAGTGAAATTTGTTCAAATATTGGTTACAGAAAGTCGGTTAAATGAAACAGCCTATAAAAGAAATGAAATTTGTGAACAGAGAAAAAGGATTAAGCAATACTAAAAATGACTTGTAATTAACAACTCTGCCAAGCTCAAGCCCCAACTATTGGGACTTATGATTCAAATTAGGCTGATGTCTGGTATGGAGAAAAGCAGAGTTTCTTGTACCCAGATTTAAGTTCAGAAACTATGGGGAAAAAAAATAATGAATGGATCACTGGTGGCTAAACATGATTTGTAAACAGCAATCTGCTGCTCAATTTTTGTGATCACAGAGAGTAACTACATACTTCCATCAAGCAACAGACTGGACTGCAAGTTCTTCAGCATTAAAGAGACTGCTGGTAGTACTACTACTGGTACTCTATAGTAGGTAGAATAACAATACTCAAAAGGAAGTTAAGTATAATTGTTTCAATTTTGCTTATTGGGAAGCTACCGCACAAAGAGATTAAGTAATTTGCTCAAGGCTACACAAGAGGTCCATGGCAGAACTCGGAACAGAACCCGAGCCTCCTGACTTGCAAGAAGATGTTTATTTGGCCACCTACTAATATCTATGTCTTTAACTGTTTAATTACGGGGATGTCTACACTGGCAGAGTTACATCACCGGCAGTTACATCGCCGCTCAAAGAGCGCTGAAGGGAAACTGCTGTTTTGTGTTCACACTGTCTGCTGCCTGTGCAACACTGTGTTCATACTTGCAGCACTTGCAGCAGTATTTGGAGCGGTGCACTCTGGGCATCTATCCCACAGAGCATCTCTTCCTCTTCTGCCGCTAAGAGTTTGTCGCGGGGCATCCTGGGTCCTGTTCCAATGTCCCATGATGCATTGCTTCGCATCCCAGCAATTTGCTTCCGTCTGCATTTGGCACCATCTTTCAACGGTTTGTGTACTGCGCGCTCTGCCTCTTCGGTCTGCAGGAATGGATCCCGCACTGTTGAACAATATGCTGCTCGCTCTCACTAACACGTCACGAATGGCAATGGAGTTATTCCTTAAATTACAAAGGCAAGAGGAGTTTGACATTCATCTCGCCACATGTAGAAGCTACGACACGAGATTGCTTGCGGCATTCACAGAGGTGATGACCACAGTGGAACGCTGCTTTGGGGCTCAGGAAACAAGCACTGAGTGGCGGGATCATGAGCAGTGGCTGCAAAACTTTCGGATGAGGAAAGCCACATTCATGGGACTTTGTGATGAGCTCGCCCCAGCCCTGCAGTGCAAGGACACAAGAATGAGAGCTGCCCTGCCACTGAAGAAGCGCATGGTGAATGCACTGTGAAAGCCGATCGGTCGCTAACCAGTTCAGAGTGGGAAAGTCGACTGTTGGACTCGTGTTGACGGAAGTGTGCAAGGCCATTAAGCGCATCCTGCTCCGAAAGACAGTGACTCTGTAAAATGTGCGTCACATTGTGGATGGCTTTGCACAAATGGGCTTCCCTAACTGCGGAGGGGAGATAGATGGCATGCATATTCCAATACTGGCACAAGACCACCTAGCCACCAAGTACAATAATTGGAAGGGGTATTTCTCTATGGTTCTCCAGGCGCTTGTGGATCACCGTGGGTGTTTCACGGATATTAACGCAGACTGGTCCGGAAAGGTGCATGACGCATGCATCTTTCGGAACACTGGCCTTTCCAGGAAGCTGCAAGCTACTTTCTTCCCGGACCAGAAGATCACCGTAGGGGAAGTCAAAATGCCCATTGTGATCCTGGGAGACCCTGCCTACCCTTTAATGCCATGACTTATGAAGCCATACACGAGGAACCTTGACCGCAGCAAGGAGCGGTTCAACAAGAAGCTGAGCAAGTGCCTAATGACTGTTGAGTGTGCTTTTGGCTGTTTAAAGGCCCGCTAGCGCTGCCTATATAGGAGACAGGACCCACTTATGACAATATTCCTATGCTTATAGTCGCATGCTGTTCACTCCATAATATTTGTGAAAGGAAGGGTGAAAGTTTCATTCCGGGCTGGACCGCTGAGGCTCAACACCTGGAGGCTGAATTTGAACAGCCAGAGACCAGGGCTATTAGAGGGGCACAGCGTGGGGCCATAAGGATCAGGGATGCCTTGAGGCAGCAATTTGAAGCTGAAAGCCACTAGTATTTGTTGCTATGCTCCGGAGTACAGGGCTTGTAATGCTAGGAGGTGATTGTGATTGGTGCAGACAATGCACTGTGAAGGTTTAAGTAAACTGCCTGTGCTTTGCAGGGGTTTATTTTCTTTTAATTAATGGAATAAAGATTTCTTTCAAACCAAAACAATTCTTTTATTAAAAAACAACAACTAGAGGAGACAAAAAAAAAAATCAGCACTGGGGATGGGGGAAGGAGGGTCCCAGGAGGAGGAGGGGTCCCAGGACAGTTAAAGTTTTGTGTATCTCCAGGGATCATCTCCAACTCTGTCCTTTGGAGTACAGAGCAGCAGGTACTGTATTTCAGCAGGGCTAAACTACAGAGGGACAGGTGTTGAGTGCAGTGGGTACAGGGAGTCCGCAGGGCTGGACTGTGACAGGGCAAGAGTGGAGTGCAGCGGGTACAGACTAGAGGCAGAAGGTCTACTCCCATACCCCATAGACCACTATTTTAAAAATATAAAGCATCATAAATGCCATGAGGCACCTTTAAGCCATCTGTTAGATCCCAGAGCAGCAAAAGATTGAAGCCTCTCCTCCCTTCCCATCCCCTGACAAGATTGCTGCTGAGGAAGAGAGGGGAGCTGTTATGGTCCTACTGAAAAGGGTTGCAGATGACACGATGGAAATTAAGTCCACTATGTTCACAATGCCAGATACAATTACATTTGACTCTTCCCTGTTAAATCTGACTGGGTTTGTAAGGGAGGCTGAGAGACTTGTATCTGGCACTGAAGATCAAATCTAGGCATCCAGATTCAAATTCAG